AGTGCATTAGGAATACTCTGTAGAACCGCGATAACCGACGTCCGCCAAGAGAGCCAATTCCGACCGTCATCCGCAAGTCGCACATTTTTGAATTGGTGAAATTTCATACCAGATCCGCTTGTTGTATTGTTTGCCATGATTGGCAAGGTAAGTTGAGACGGGATTGAGAGAAACTCGAAATCCTCGATCTCCGGAGCACTTTGCATTCGCCGAAATGAAAACCTGACAGCAGCTGTATTCTGCCGCACTCCCAATACCCTTAGGTAGGAGTAAGCAGCTTACCCTGTTGGGAGTTGTTTCCCGACGTCACCGGTCGGTCACGGAGCACTGACCAATTGTTGGTAAGAGGCAATTCGTGCTGATAACGTGTTGAAACAGCTTGGCAAAGGCTGGTTGAAGGAAAGGTCGGATAGTGAGGAGACACACTAGCTCAGTGAGCGAAGTGAACTAACAGGAGTACAGTCTCACAAAAGGGGAGACACCACAGTAAAGTTTATTCGGATTGTATCCTCCTTATATAGGAGTTAGGGTGGGGCGAGCTCCACCTTCCTTACCATGCTTACCTACATACATGGGCTGGATGAGTCTCCGTACAATATCTTGGGAACCACCCAATGGGTGACTCACTCTAGCAATCTTGAGTCCCGCTTTCGTACTAGCGGACTATCATTTAGCTTACGTCGGAACCGGGATTGAGAACCCCGAATGTATGACTCACGAGGAAAGCGTACCCACGCTATGAGTCACACCGACACGACGCCACCGAGTCTGAGGATTCACAGCTCCCAATTCTGTTCATCCCAACAGGTCTCAACAGTATGTCGGAAAAATTCGTCGCAGTGGTAGCTCGACTCTCTCTCTGAACAGTGCGATTCGGCACGGGGATTTCAAGAGTACCATTTTCATGGATGCAATCAGTCGATCGACTTTTGGAAAGAGGGTACGAACTTCTTCCGCGACTCTGGGCAAGCCGTGAGCAATGCAAGTCGAGTGAATCAGGCGCGGGAGCAAAGTTTTCGAACTCTTCGCTGCTTTCTCCATGTAGCGGGCCGCATCTATCACGAAAAGTAACACGCGATCGTAGTGAACGCCTCCGGGCCAGAGGAACTCCATTACCCAACGAAGATCTGAGCGATGGAAGTCGCGTTACATCTTTCGAGTAGCTCACACATTGAGAGGTGACTCTTACCAAGATGACTCCGCTCCAACTTGCCGACTACGATGTTCGCGATGCTTCGTTCTGCACTGTCAGTCGTTTCATCGATCGACACGCAAATTTTACACGATCCTATCTCTTGCCGTATCCCGTCAATCACTCTTGCATGTATGAGCGGCGCGTAATTCTTCCGAAGCGTAGACTGATCGGGGACTTTCATAGATGAATACTTCTCCAAGAAATCTTTCAAGGCGGCGTTCGGAAGCTTATGGAGAGGTATGTCCGCGTTCATGAACGCATGCAGAGATCCATGTAGAAGTCGTTTCTCTTCCTCCGGGATCGTCTCGTCCGGGACAACTATCGCTTGCACCTCACCTGCGAGACCCTCGTCCACCTGCAGCGAGTCAAGAATGACCCGCCCGAGGGAGTGAGTCGCCGGACTCTTCACGCTACCCGTGCCGTGAATCGATGTCGACTCTGAAACAACTCTCAAGCCCAGCTCACTCGCCTTGCTGGGCCGAATGAGTACGGATGAGCATCCGGTATCCATCAATCCGGTTACCTTGAACTTCCCGTCAATGATGCATTCCTTTAGATATTTGGAAATGGTGGACTCCTCCTCGGCCGAGGACGTGAAGTTCTCGCGACGACGGCGGTCGATCTGATCGTGCTCTGCAGGGCAATCTCGACGGAAGTGGCCCGATCGGCCGCAGTCCCAACAATTCGGCTGTACTCCGATCGAGCGATCTCTCGGGGCATCCGCGAGGCCCGAGGCCCTCCCTCCATCCCGGAACGTCCGAAGAGCGTTCGGGAGCTGCGGGCGACCTGCAAAATGACGCATCGCGCCCGACGCGATCTCAACCTCCCGGCGCGCCGGACGCCACTCTCCGGAGCCCTCTGCCGTCCAACGCTCCCGACTAGTCTGAAAAGGAACTCGCGGCCCCTGACCGGAGCGACGAATCTCACCAGCTCCGCGATGCGAGCTTAGCAGCTCCCTGGGAGTCTGTTCCGGATCCATACCTGCGATTCTAGCTGCTCTCGAGATATCCGCCACAGACGCCACGACGCCCGACGAGGGGTGATGGGCGACGGCGAGCTTGACCGGTGTGAAAACTTCATGCAACCCACGTACAATGTGATCGAATGCATCACCGAACGAAATTCCGGCGGCCTGAGCCAAGCTCATCATCTTGTAGACGTGGATGTCCACCGGAGTGTCCGCCGACTGAAACAAACTAAAGAACCCGCTGGCAGAGCACCCCGGAATGACGGACGCCTCGGAAAATCGGAGCGCGAAGGCGCTGACGTCATCTGCGGCGTCGTTAGACCCGAACGGAGTATCCGCCTCCTCAAGATGAAACCATATCGCCGCCCGGCCCTCTAGATCAGGGTTTCCCAACAGGGGTTCCGCGGAACCCTCGGGTTCCGCGACGAGATTTTCGAGGTTCCGTGAGCGAATTCCTAGAGCTCAAGCGGACAGATGCTCGGTTCGATTATCAAGCATTAATGCAATAATTCATCAAACTTTCAAGCCAAATGCGCTGTTTTCGAAAAGTGCCGCTCCAGAGGATAAACAGGGTTGGAGAAAATCATAATCAAACCTATGATTATGATTATGATTATAATCACAGATCGGATTTTCGTGACTATGATTATGATCATAATCGAAACCATAATCATCATCACAGGCGTAATCATACCCGTAACCACAGTTTCTAGCACAACAGGATACAGGATTATTCAATACTTACACATCGCTTGTGGTTCGAGAACGTCTCGAAACAATCCCGTGTTCTTCAATATCCTTTACTCTTAGACTTTCGACGGACACCTACAATCGCTACACGAAACAACACAACGCAATAAATAATGCCTTCATAGCAACAGCGAACACCGGTAAAGCAGCCGTCGGAATAATTTGCGCGGCGTGACTGTTCACGCCGCTTCTCGCTAGACAATATCAAAGCAAGCTAGTCAACTTTCTTTTGAACTCTCCATACATATCGACATCTAGTGAAAAACGCGAAATGCGTGATTACAGATGAAATCAGCATGCGCGGTTCTCATCTCTTTAATTCGGTGAACTCACGACTGCAGCAGATGTCAGACGAACACGTGGCCCTGTTCGCCGGACTAGATCGTATAGCATGCGGCGACTTGAAACAATTACCACCGGTGTATTCGTGTCCGGTATATAGCGCGACCCGGAATTCTGTTGGAGAGAACGCCATTTTGGGGCAGTCTTGAGATTATTCTCCACTGTCTCAATGAATGCGATAAAAGGATTCCCATTTCTCGGCCGTCTTCACAAAAGTCGGCTCTTGCGAAACCTTGACGTCCGAGGAACTGACCATAACCATGCAGCAACTTGTCTATGTGGCTATAAGTCGAGTGACAGCTCTAGAAGGGTTGTTCTTGACGAACGTGAACGGAGACTTCACTTTCCATCATGGGCGGACTCACCCTCGATTCGAGACGTTAGAAATGAATACAAGAGGTTGGCTTCTCATCGCTTGCCACGATTACGGAGGAAATCAAGCAATTTCTAGATACCGAATCAACATCCGATGATACAGCGATCATTCTAAATCTGAATGTTCAGAGCATGGCGGCTCACGCTCAAGACATTCCCGCGAATCCAATTTCACTGCGGGCTGACTATTCAAATCTCACGGAAACATGGGTGCCAGATATCGAAGGATTCCGAATTGAAGGGAAATTTCGGTCGGTTCCTCCAGAGATGACGATGAGTACTCGAAGAGTTCGATTAGGTTGGATTTAAAGAATGACTGTCATGAGCACACAACACTGGGGAATAATTGCAAAGATTCGACATTCGCGAGGAACATGGAATCTTTTTGCAAACGGTCCACATCCTACTTCTCTTATAACTGTCCGATCTTCAACAGAAGCAGCATCAAATAAACTTCTGAATGCGTCGACTGATCGAATTTTATGTCCGAAAATGTCCGCCATGAGGCGGATCTTCTGGAATTCTCGAATAGATTGCTTATGCAACAATCAACCGGAATGGAGAATCAGAATGAGGAATCGGGAAGGATGAATCGGAGAATGATGGGTTTCGGCTGAATGTGTTTTCGAGTAGACGACTTTCAGCCTGCTGAGTTTCGGCTCCTTGAGTTTCGGCGTCGAGTTCCCGTCTCGAAAGGTGTAGGCGGATGAATCATACAGTCAGATTGCGTTTCACTGAGGCGTCGGTTTCGTTATCACCGTTCAGAAAATTTTCGAAGATCGAGGATCAGAAGAGAAAATCATTGATAACATCTACGAAATAAATACGCCACTAGAGCGATTCAAGAATTCAAGAATACTATTCGGAGGAAGCACGGGAAACGATCGGAAAGAAAAATGGAAAAATTTATCGCCTCTAAATAGACGACATGAGGCTAGACGAGTCTCACTCACTTGCGGCGGATTAATCACTATCGCATCGAGCTGAGTCAGATCGACAACGAAGGTCAAAAGTGTTCACGAACTAGCATGTCGGAGCCAAGTTCGACACGAGGAAAGGGGAGGTCCAGGGTAACGTTGTTGAGGACACCCAAGAGGAGAGGCAAGTCATTCCGAAGATCCTTATCTATTTGTTCGAATATTCACTCATCATGTTCACCAGTCTATCATGCTGGAACAGACAAGCTCTTGGCCATTCAGCAGACAACGGGGAGTTCAATGAAAACCCGGCGAAGCAGCCGAAGCTCGTAATGTCGCTCGAGTCAGGATCCATCGGGGATGTCGTTGAAGGTCGAGTGCAGTCGGAAACCGGGACCCGACATTGGGAGAAAATTACCGAAGCCGACTCCTATGTTTAGGACAGCCGACTACTATGTTCATACAAAAAGAGATCGAGAGGCAAGGTCAATATAAGTACCTCGGAATAACCCTGTCCGATAAGCCTAACTATCTCCATGAACATGATTTAGTTCTGAAGAAAAAGGCGGAAGTGGCGTTGCAAAGAATGCACGCACAATGCCTATGGACGTTCGATGAATTCGAGGTTTCCAAGATCCAATGGAAAGCCACAGCGGTCCCGACGCTGACATACGCCAATGCGGTACTAGCCTCGAGGAACCAAAGAGCGCTGAATGCTCACTTCGAAAAGACGCAGATGTCTGCGGGTCGATGGGCTCTGGGCATTACTGGATAAAAGGTAGCCAACGAGTTCATCCAAGGAGAAATAGGCTGGTCGTCATTTGAGGCAAGAGAAGCTCAGAGCAGGATCCGATATTTCACTAGGATAAGTTCAATGGAGGCACATAGATGGCCGAGAGCGATCCTGTCAATGATGGCACCGACCGACACATACACCGAGGCAGTCAAACGTTTGAAGATCCTACGTAAAAAATACCTTGATGGGGAAATAACCGTGGTATACACTAACGGAGGACGTCCACTTCTAAGTAAATATTACGAGGAAGTGAAACTAAAAGTCCAGGAAACGCAGGACAAGGTATGGAGAGATGGGATGTCCCGGTAACCAAGCCTTCAGATATACAATATGTATAAAGAAAGACGAGGACTGACCGCAGTCGGCACGTATAACAATAGAAGAGGTAGTACCCTACTCGCACTTGCGAGAGCAGGGATGCTACCGACTCGAAAATACCGCAGTAAGTTCCAAAACATCCACCCGTACTGCTGCTTGTGTGGGATGGAGAAGGAAACTATCCGGCACGTGCTATTAGAATGCACCCCACATCACCTCAATGAAGAGGAACTCCGTAAGAAGTTGGGACTCCAGGAGCTCCTGGACCGTGGAGTGCTGCGAAATACCAAGGAACTACTAGAGCGATGGGAGAAGGAGACCCGACCGATCTGCTGAGAAATCACCCCTGAGATAAAAGGGATATGAACCTGTGATATAGTATCGCAGGGACATATGGATCAATAAAACCATGAACCATGAAAAGGGTACCATCTTCCCCTTCATCTTGGCCGATAGTTCGGGAACGATTCAAATTGTGGTTTCTGGAGCTATGTGCGACTCACTCCATCATCAAATCTCGGTCGGGAACGGCTATCGCATAGTGTACGGGGTTGTGCTCATCAATCAAGTAGAAGGGGTGCCGAATCGGCGTCCCCACAGAGGTTCCCCTCTCTCACAGACAATGGTATAAGAAACAACCTTTCAATCAATAAACGCACTGTCTTGTGGACAAACAGACAAACAGACAAAGAGCAAACAGACAAACAGACGAAGAGCAAACAGACAAACAGACAAACAGACAAACAGACAAACAGACAAACAGACAAACAGACAAACAGACAAACAGACAAACAGACAAACAGACAAACAGACAAACAGACAAACAGACAAACATTCAAACAGACACGCGTTTTACATATCTAGATACCCACTTAGAGTCGATTCTGGTCGAGGAAACCAGAACACCGCTGTGGCCAATGACGAAAACGCTCTCTCAGAGATCCACGGAGCAGACTCCGTGTACGGTCGAGAGATCCTGAGAAATTTGTCGACCGGGGCTCGACCCATCTCCACGAGGTGAGGAGTTTCTCCGAGGCTCAAGAGGTATGTGGAAGAGGAGCGGAAACTGCAATCCCTCCTGAACGATGCCATGGAGATCTCTCCTGCATTCAAGCGGCGTTTCGACAGCATGTCGACCATCCATGCATCCTGCAAGAGGCTCCGTATGTACAGCGGGGATTATACCCAGGCTATCGGACAATGTACAGTTATGATAGCTGACGGCGAAGCACAAGCCCAAGTAGCCTTTCAGGTGGTATATTTGCCTGAACAGCCTCTCTTAAGCGCAAGAACATCGCTATCGCTTCAGTGCATCATACTCGGAAGAAACGTGGAGTTCGTGAATCAAATGCAGCCTTCCGAGGAACACCAAGAAGAGCTCAACAGTTTGGTTGGACAAGTTTTGAGCTCAACAGAAGGACGACATATTCAAGGGGCTGGGTCGACTGCCGGGTGAAGTTCGCATACATCTCAGAGAGGACTCGATACCGGTCCAATGTCCACCGCGAAAAACTCCGGTGGCTCTGAGAGATCGAATTATCGAGGGACTTCAGCAACTACATGACCAAGGCGTCATCACCCCGGCACACAATCCAACAAAGTGGATAAGCCAGATGTTGGTAGTCGCGAAAAAGGGAAAGAAGTTGCGTGTGATACTCGACCCTTACCATTTGAATCAGGCAGCTCGGCGATCACACTATCCACTCCCGATACTGTCTGACATTCTGCCTCGCTTGTCAGAAGCAAGATACTTCTCGGTGGCGGATGCATCAGATGGATTCTTCCAGTGTGTACTGGAAGAGAGCTCCACCGATCTTACGACATTTTGGACACCACTCGGACGATACAAATATCTGCGTATGCCCCAGGGACTGAGCATCTTGCCGGAAATATATCAGGCGAAACAGATTGAGGCATTGGAGAATCTTCGAGGAGTCGAAGTCATTGCGGACGACATACTCATTCACGGAGAAACTCGTGGGGAACATCATCGAAATCTCGATTTGTTCTTCAAACGGTGCCGGGAGAAATACCTAAAATTGAATCGCAGCAAACTAAGACTCGGGGTGCCGCAGCTGAGATACATGGGGCAAAACTTGTCTCGAGACGGTCTCCTGGCAGATCCAGAAAAAATCGACATAATCAAGAAGACGGCCCCACCGAAAGACAAGAAGGCGCTCCTACGGGTCCCGGGATCCCTGAATTATTTATCAAAATTCATCCCAGGATACTCACAGATCTCTGCGCCCTTGAGAGTTCCACTGAAGGAGAAAGTAGACTTCGTATAGCTTGAGGGCCAACAGAAAGCATTCGACAAACTGAAGGAATGCCTGACAAAGGCACCGCTCCTTGCTTATTTCGATCCAAAACTGCCGGTGCTGATACAGTCCGACGCAAGCCAGAATGCAGTGGGAGCAGTTCTTCTCCAAGAGGGGCGACCAGTTGATTTCTGTAGCGCGGCACTCAAGGCCAACGAACTGAACTATGCCGTCATCGGAAAAGAGCTATTAGGAATCCTCATCGCATGTAAGAAATTCGAGCATCAGATATTTGCTCATCCGGACGTAACAATCGAGACCGACCACCAGCCGTTAATCAGCGTGTTAAAAAATCTCTACATAGCGCACCGAAGAGGTTACAGAGGATGCTTCTCTTCATGCAGAAATACAATTTCGAGCTACGATACGTGAGAGGGAAGCAGAACTGTATAGCGGACTGGTTGAGCCGCGATACTCATCGGACGACTCACGAAGCGGCAAATGACGAGTGCCTGGTATTCAGAACGGAAATCGACGATGTTGACATCGCGCGTCTCACACCAATAAAGAATGCAACTCTCGGAAGAATCGAAAAAGCATCAGAAAACGACACGGAAGCACAACATTTGCAAAGGCTCATCCGGAACGGTTGGCCGTATAAGAATGCCAAGTGCCCGGGCAACCTCATACCGTTTTGGAAACACCGGGCTGTAATGACGCTGGAGAAGAATCTGATTTGCAAGGGTCAGGCAGTGTACATCCCCAGAGATCTCCGGCGAGAAATGTTCTCTTTGGTTCATTCGAGTCATTACAACTTCATTGCATCATGGAAAAGAGCACGAGATTGCATATTTTGGCCTACCGTCAAACACGAGCTGAAGGGGCTCTGTGAGACATGCGACATGCGAGACCTGCTTGGCTCACATGCCGAACCAAGCTAAGGGACCGATGCTTCTGAGCCCGACGGGGACATTCCCCTTCCAAATAATCTTCCAGGATATCTCAACGTTCGAGAACAATCAGTATCTCGTGACAGTGGACTCATACTGCGATTTCTTCGAAGTCGACAACTTAGGCTACAGAGCCACAGCAGGGAAAGTCATAAAAGCCACCGAGAAACACTTCGCGAGGTACGGAGCGCCGATAGAACTGCATAGCGACAATCTACATCGACAGAGTTTCTGGAGTTCCTGCAATTCTGGAGCGTAACACACACGACGAGCTCCCCGTACTTTCCTCAAGGCAGCGGGAAGGCCGAAGCAGTGGTCAAGGTAGCTAAAAGTCTACTGAAGAAATGTAGACTCTACGAAGAGAACTATAAATACGCATTGCTCGATTTGAGGAACACTGTGCAGGCCGATGATTCGAGCAGGGCGCAAAAATTCCTATCCAGACAGTTGAGATGTACATTACCGTCAATCGTGGACCACGGTTTCATCCAAAATCAGCAGCAAGTAACTCATAACGAAGAGAAGAAGCGGAAACAGAGGCAGTAATTCGATAAGTCCACAAAGAGGCTCAAGCCATTGAGTCCAGGAGACGAGGTTCGAGTTCAACCTCTACGGAAAACAGAAAAATGGATAGCCGGCAACTGCATTGAGTTAATCGGACCGAGATCGTACCTCGTCCGACTATAGGACGGAACGACAATCCGACGAAATCGAAAACACCTGAGATTGGTTAATCAGGAAAGTAGAAACGCCGAAGAAAAGGACGCGGTCAACCAGAGTGGAGCACAGACTCCTGATTCGGACGCCACAATGCAGAGTGGTGAAAAACAGGACAACACGATGAAGGTACGAATGGAGGTGGACACGACCATGCGAAGTTGCATGGAAATGGATACCACGGACCGAGATCGAATGGACGTTGACTCTCCGACATCACAACCGACAGCAGCTGCGGCGAGTAGCACATCGAAAAATCGAAGCGAAAAGAGAAAACGGAAAATCAACGACGCACAAGCGACTCAGAGCCCTCGGAGGAGTGCAAGGATCAAGCGTCCGAGAATTGTCTTGGGTGTCAGACAGAAACCCTAGGGACACATTAGTAGTGCCACGGGATGGACGTTATGACGCTCGTATAGATAATCCGATCACTATGCCTTCGAGCAGCGGAAAGGTCGAGACAAACGCTCAATCCAATATTGTCAATGATTGTGAGATCCTAGGAGAAGTATTCGAAAATTTAAGAATTGTGTAATATTTATCTAGAAGGGGAAGATGTTTATATGCAGCTCGTAATTACGCGCCACACCACAAGCGCCACCTCGTGCCACAATAAATAGTCAGCGTCACTGTGACCTCCGACCGACTCGATAGTCATCTCCCATTGCTAAGCATTCCAGATAACTGAGAAACTCCGTCTTACTGCCGTACAGTTCGCTGAGGATTTCATTCAGCGTCTAACAGTCCTGCTGTTCAGAATGGCCGAAAGCAACTCCTGCTCCTCAGAGGATCAGAAAACCCCTGGAGAGAGCAACCGCTTTGTCGCAAACTTCTACAGCTACATCAGGGGGATCCAGGAGCTACACAAAGTCCCTCGTGAGATTGCAGTGAAGTGCGCAGAGATGACGTGGACAAATTCTCTGAGATAAATTATCCTGGAATAAGTGAACTGAGCAGTTTGACCTTCCCTGAGGTCTTCTGAACCCATGTTTATTGTGAACAGAGTGCTCGTCACCTAGGTCCCGAAACTTTATGCAAATGCACATGCGCATATGCGTGCGTGCAGGAATATGCGGAAATATGCAGGAATATGCGGAAATATGCAGGAATATGCGGAAATATGCAGAGGCATGCAAACATGTCCTGAAAACCCCTTAAGGTGTGCGGAACCGATTCGTATCCAGACTGCAGATCACTACAAGAGAGAACGCGGCATTGTTGGGTGAGATTGGCAAGAAGCTTGTTTTTATTCACTCACTGGTTGCAGAGAGCAACCACGTACTTTTTCATGGTCTCAAATTCAAACCCTCTGCGATTGTCTCTGAGGAACGCTTTGTATCTTGTGCTGGCTGCTTCGACGCAGTTGCCCCCGCAGTCAGTCTGATCTCACAGCGAATGTGTGAGAGAAGGG